ATGGGTGGATGGACAGAGGATCAATCACGCTAAATGCTATAGAAAGGTCAAGAGGAATGAGAACTGATGTGGCAGTGGGTGGTCATCACCGACCTGGTGAGAAAGCTATAGTGAAGGAGGGGCACCGGACGCCTGGTTCTCCTTCAGGAAGAGAAGGGATAGGATGGGGGGGAACAGAGACAGTGAACAGAAGCTACTCTTTCAGAAGTCCCTCTGCGGGCAGGGACTCATCTAGTGTACTCACTTGGTTCCCAATTTTATATTCTTTTTCTTTATTCAAGTGACGCAAACAAGTTGTCAAGCTCAGTGTCATTTCTAGTTGAAAACAGTATATGATTTCAAAGGTAATACGACGGACCTCCTAAGATTACTCATACACTACTTCAAAGGGCAAGTCCCAAACAAGGGTTATATAAACAGACAGCTTTTGATAATGGCGGCATCACTGAAATGAGGGTATGACTTCCCAAGGTGACTACTTTGAATAAGTGTATGTTTGAATAAATTAAGTGATAAGAGTTCTGCTATGTTCCTTTCTTTTTCTTTTTTATAAGTCTTTAGAGTAACGGAAAATAAGTAGAACTAGCACAGCTTAGAGTAGGGATTTCCTAAAATGCATTATATACTTTAGGATGATTTTTGGTTGTACTTAAAGTTTTATGTTTGCTTTGTATTAACTTTTGTATATATTAGAAAAAATACACGTAGTTCAAACTCATGATATCACGTATATTACAAAGTATCCTTGATCAACAAATTTAATTTTCTTTCTTTTTTTTTTTTTTTTTTTTTGTGGGACATGCCCCTAGTAGGAACCGAACCCAGGACTCTCTGGTCCACAGGTCGACGCTCAACTGCTGAGCCAAACTGGCTAGGGCAACAACAAATTTAAATGATACATTTTAGTTTTAAATATACATTGTTTTGCTCTCACTGGCATGGCTAAGTGGTTAGAGCATTGGTCCATGCACTGGAGGGTCATAGGTTCAATCCCCAGTCCCAGTCAGAGCGTGTGCAAGGGGCAACCAATAGTTTTAAAAAAAACTATTAAACAAATAATACTGTTGTTATAGCAAACATTGTCGGGGTGGTATACAAATAATTCAAGCTTGGAAAACACTGGAGTAGGCAGAAGATCACGGGCTTTCGAGGCTAGTAGACCTGAGTTCAAATCCTAACTCTGCCATTTGCTAGTTACTGAATGACCCAGAGAAACCTGTTTAACTTTCATGAGTCTCAGATTAGTCACCTATGAAATGAAAGTAACAGTACTTAATTTCACAGGGTTTTTCTGAGGACAAAATGAAATCAAGCAATAAAGCCTCTGACAGAGCTCTGGGCCTGTAAATTGGTATGCAATCAACGGTGGCTATAATGCTTGACCGTCCAGACATTATGCACATATTCAAACAAATCCCAGCATGTGGCTATTTATAAACATGAGTCCATTTATCCCAGATGACCTTTCTTTTCCATCAGGAATATGTAGAGTTACAAGTGAGCATCACTGGGTTGAAAAGGAGGGTAGACAAAAACACAAAGGCGCAGAGACTGCCACCAGGAGGCCTGCGGGCAGTTGGACGCAGGGCCAGAGGCAGGTTAGGGGGCTCAGAAAGGGTTCCAGCAGATAAACAGTCTGTGTTCCAATAGAGATGTTATTACCCTTCTGAGAGCGTGGAAGGAGTGAGCATCTACCGTATAATTATTAACTCAGATTCTAAACATAAAAAGCCAAATGACCTGTGCAGAAAAGCAGGGACAGTCTTATCAAGAATGAATCAACCTCTTTGATCTTGAGGGAAACCAACTCACTGAACATCAAGCTTCCACTTGGGGTTTTTCCAGACACTAAAGTAGTTACCTAATTCTCAGCTGTCTGGAGTTTCCAGTCCAAACCGGCCTTTAAAAAAAAGCCCTGCCATCTTGCTAGAGTTCACACTCCATTAAAAACATGTACAGATGCATGCTACTAGTCCAGAGAAATAAAGCTCCAGAAATATTTTTAACTATGGACAACCCACAGAAATGAAGACAGATTACCCCACCCAGTCTGGAACTACACACTCAGGTACAAAAAGAGGGCTGAAGGGAATGAAAACAGAGCACAGGGATAGAGGGCATTCAGAGGTTATGCAGAAAAGCAGATGATGGGAGGGAAAACCCCAAAGTGAACACGGAGGAACATAAACACAAAATACACAGAGGGAGCTGGGACAGAAGGGAAGGTGTGAAGAAATGGGTGAAAAACAAGGAAAAGAAAAAAAAAAAGGAGGCGGGCAGCTGAGCAAGAGCCATGGTAATCAGTATCTCTCATTACATTTCTAGAAGCCTCTCCCTCCCACCCACCCACCCGGTGATCACAGGCAGGGCACTATGAATTAATCAACATGTAAATGACCCCCTTTATCTGTGGAAATTGAATTTAGCTGCCAATCTTGATTGAAGGCTAGAGGGCTCCTCACAGAAAGATAACAGCTCTCAGGAAGAATGCCTTTTCTCTCCTTAAATCAAAGCTTGCATAACCCCATGGAAACAGCTGCAGCTGGAGCCCCAGCCTCTGCGAAAGGTGGCAGGCTGGGGACGTAATTAAAATTAGCAGTTACATAACATGTTTGTTCTTCAAAGTGCTCTACAAACATCGGCTAATTAATAGCTTACTATGCCCCATGCAGATCCACTGGTTTTTCATGCACTGACTAATCTTTGTGCCCCCATTGAATTCTGAATGGTGGCGGCAGACCAGCTTGAGCAATAAAGCAAACAGCTGGGTCCAGAAGCCATGCCCAACTCCTTTACCGAGTGACTCCGTAGATAGCTCTGGGGCAGGAACACGTCCCCAAATGTTGAATTCTGCATCCCATGAGGCAGCTGCCTCACTTTCTCCAAATAACTCTTAGAGGTGCTGTTAGAGATGCAATAATAGGTTGGAATGATCACCCGTCTGGCCCAATATGGCATTAGCTCCTCTCAATTTCCCCAGTTATTAAGACTTGGAAACCCAGAGTCCTTGTTGTTAGTTACAGGTTTGTCTTTGCTTTTCTGTGCAGGTTGGGCAAATCAATGAACCTTCTCTAGAGATCTCTGGGCTGTTATCCATGTCTGCCCATTGACGTTTCTATGGCTGCAGTCTCTAGCCTACATCCTCTGGTATTTGTGGTAGAGGTGACTGAATGTGGGAACTGCATGCCACAGACAGGGTCTCGGCAGTGGAAGTGAGATCTCCATCTGCACCAGGAATGCTTTACCCAGGGACTTCCAGAGACCCACGGACACCTTGATTTTGTAAAACACTACATGTGTATGTGTCGGTGCATTTCTTTGGAGGAAAGTTTGTTTACCCAATTCCAAGACGGCAGTGACTAGCAAAGTACCTCATACAGCATGTATGCTACATAGATATCTACTGAATTGATAGATTGCATCAAATTTGTATCCCCAAAACGGTTATGAGCTATTGCTCTATGGACAAATAATCACCAGCAGTCCACATATTCTGCTTTCTCTGGCTAGACTTCCCTATGGAAAACTTTGATTGGCAAGGCCCGATACATTCTATCATAATTCTGCTGCAAGTCAAACCAGAGACCCAGATGAAAACTACCTTGAGATTTCACTCTTCAGAACTCTGCCTTTGGAGCCAAGAAAGTCAACATCTAGAAATGCATTCATGGAGCCATTCAACCACATGTCACACCTCCAGAGCCACTATCACAAATGGTGAGCATCACTGTCTTTTCCCATCTTGTTTCTTGGAAGCACAGGTGTGAGACAAAGCACGTGGAAGTGCCCATTTCTCCTTCCTGAGCTCCTCTTTAAGCAAAGTGAGTAATTTCAGTAAAGACCTAGCATGGGCACCATGCTTTAAACTTTCCAAAGTGCTCCCCCTGGATTGCCGCCTGTGATTCCCTCTCAACAACTCTCTGAAGTGGGGAAAACAGACTGTATTTTCCACTTTTAGAGATGAGGAAACTGAGGTTTAGAGAGAAGAATGCCTTACCAGATGACACACAGCTTAATAATACATGGCACTGCTAGGATCTGAACTGAAGTCTCAAAGCTCCCATTCACCAGTAATCATATTTTGGGGTATGTACCCAAGAGAATTGAAAGAAGAGTCTCAGAGAGGTATTTGCACACCCATGTGCACAGCAGCAATAATTCACAGTAGCCAAGAGGTGGAGGCAACACAAGTGTCCATCAGTGGATGAATGGACAAACACAATGCAGTAGATACAGACATAGAATATTACTCAGTTTTACAGAAAGAAGGCAATCCCACCATTATGACAGCATGGATAAACCCGGAGCTCATTGTGCTAGGTGAAATAAGCCAGTCGCAGAAGGACAGATATTACATGGTTCCACTTACATGAAGTAACTAAATTAGTCAAAGTCATAGACACAGAAAGCAGAATGGTGGTACCAGGGGTGTGGGGAGAGGGGAATGGGGAGTTGCTGTTTAATGGGTACAGAGTTTCAGATTCAGAAGATGACAAAGTTCTGGAGATTGGTTGCACAACGATGTGAATATACTTAACACTTAAAAATGGGTAAGATAAAATTTTATGTCGTGTGTATTTTACCACAATTAAAAATAAAAATCGACATTAAACATCTATTTTTCACTACGCCTTTTCTCTGAAAAGCTGTCCACATGTGCTAAGTTGGGACTTTCGAGGACGGCCCCTGAGAAAAGGGATCGTGGAGAAGAATTCCCCAGCCAGCCAAGCAGAGGAGACAGGAATCATTGTGATTTTAACGTGAGTTTCATTAGATGGCAGCCTACAATTTTCTATCCAACTTCTTGTCCCAATCCACTCTCTACATTTTCAGGATTTAGCTGACACGCGTGAAGCCAGGTGCCCACCCAGGTAAACGGCACCGCCAGGCACGGTGCACTTGAACGGAGAGTGAGGCAGCAATTGAACAGCTTTTGGTCCCATGCTCCCACTGGCCATTGGCTTCTAGAAAACAGGAGCCCTGCAGAGTAAAATCGATACCTGTGCATGTCAAAGTACTTGCTCTCCAGGTGCCGTTCTCTGTGCACACGGAGGTGATCTCTCCTCCGGGGCTCTCGAAGCCCTCCTGACAGGCGTAGCGAGCCGCCCCGCCCAGGCTGGAGCTGTGGTTCCCCACCAGGAACGCGTGCTGCACCTCCGGAGGGCGGCCACAGGAGACCTCTGCAATGGGAGGTAGCACAGCACTTGTTATGGCCACGAGTTCTAGCCCTGTGATTCCCATTGTGGAAATAAACCTTTAGTTATGATAGCGGCCGTTCACACGGGGAAAAGCGAAAACACGAATCGCATCAAATAATCCAGTTGTAGGTATACCAAGTCAGATTGTTCAGAAGTAAAGACAATAGGTATGTCTGACTTTAATAAAATTTACAAACACATACATAAAAATATTCAAGTTAGGAGATTATTTATATTATAAAGAATTCTTTGGTCAATGACATAATCCATCTTCTCAGGGTTCTTTTACATATTAAGACTGTCCGGTACCTTTTACCATGTGCCTTCAGATCATTAACTCCTGAGCAGATGATAATGCAGCTGTAGGGGCTCTGTTGCCAGGTGAATATTAAATGATATATATACAATATCTCGGAACTTTTTAAAGCAAATTAATGGGGAAAATATTTATAGAAAAGGACATTACAATTTTTGACCCAGCTAAACACTACTTAACATAAGAGTAAAAGAAAGTCATTTTCAGATATTTTACAATTTAAAAAAAATCCATGTGTATCTTTTCTGAAAAAAAATTCAAACCTAACAATATAAAACAAAATTTAATCATTTGAAAATAAAATACCAAATTATTTCAACAAAATCTGAGCAGTGAGAAGGAAAGAAATAAAACATGCTACACTTCTCTCGCAGTCGTGGGGAGCTCAGAGATACAATTATTCTCAAGAAAGCATAATAAATATAAAATACAAAATCAGATGGTCATAAAAATTCCAAAGGTAAACCATAGAACCAGTTATACCTACATACAGAAAGAGAAAAAATATGACATTTGGCTTTCATTCTGATTTTTAGTTTTCTCCCCCATCTGTAGAAAGCCATGAAAATTAAGCACTCCAGGTATCTAGATTTTATTGACATAAAGCATTCAAAGTAGAGAAAATTATATGATCTGTTTCCAACTCATTAACCATTCTTAGCCTTAGAAATAGGTGGCTTCTCTTTAATGAGCTCTTGATACAGAATCGGTGGGTTTAATGGCATTGCGCTCTTCTCCATCCACATGGATGCTTGGTCTGTTGCAGAACCCGAGTTATTTCTCTGAGGGAAGCCTCCCCGAGCAGAGTTTCATCTATTGTCATCACAAGACCCTCAATACAACAGTTCAACCCACCTGCCCAGTCACCTGGCTCTGCGATTTTTAAAGAAGAGTTAGTCTCTGATCAGTGCAGATTCAAACCATCAACACTTAGAGCACCAGAATGAGGTAGTCATTTCATAAATCCTCCAACCCTGTCTACCTCTTGAATCCCATGTCTGCTCAGAGATTTGTTTCCTTTTCATAGATGTTTACCAAACACAAGACCCCTTGGCCCTTCATGTTTTCCCAGCATCAAACCTTTAGACAGTTACTGGCCTCAAGCATTCCAGGACATGAGTATATTTGTGTGTAAATGAGCAACCGACAGAACAGGTGGTTAATGTTTCATAAGACTGCCCAGTCATTGTTGACATCTAAAACATCTTCTAGTGTAAGCCAGGGTTCAGTTATAGCAGGAAATGGAGCATCAGTGAAGAGATTGTGGGTATAGGTGTATGGACCTTGAAGGTGGAATTCTAAACAGCACGTTGAAGATATTTGGGAGGGAACTCAGTGACAGACAGTTGGATTAGGGCTGAAGTACAGATACTAAAGGGCTAAATTGACTTCCATCATGGACATGACCAAGAATAATGGAAGACATGGTGGCTTTAAAAAAATTAATACCAAAAATTTTAATTTGGGGTTGACAAGAGCTCAATAGCCTGGTCTCTAAGGACTAAGGCTCAGAGACTGGAGTAGACTCCCTGTGGTAGGCAACCTGGACTCATGACTCTGTGATCTCATCACAGAGCTTTTCAAATTGGACAGTCCCTTGGCAGGATACTTAGAGGGGGTTCCATCATGGCTGGGATTAAACATATGGTTCTAAACATAGCTGCACGTCTGAATCACCTGAGGAGCTTCTGAGACACACAAGCTGGAGTCTCACCACCAGCCCCCTCCCCCTCCAATCACACACACACACAAATAACTCTTCTGAACCAGTGCTACTGACTTAAGTTCTTGCCATCCACATTTCTACAAAGCTCCAGATTTGAGAACCTAAATTAAATACTGGTATGAAGGGCTACTATTTATCATCACAGGCATCCCATTAGGACCCTACGTGTAAATCATTAGTATTCATAGTAATCCTGCAAGTTGGGGATTATGTTCCCCCATTTTACAGGTGAAATGGCTCGACATGGTTAAATAACACATCCAAAGTTGAATCCACATCTGTCAGAGTCCTTCTCCTACACCCACTGCCTCTAAAGAGCCACTCCATTTCTGAAACGTGCCAGGATCTGCCCCTCTCGCTTGAGCTTACTCCCCTCTGCCTTGCTTTTTCTCCTCCAGGTGCACTCTTCCTCCCTCATACCTAGCAAACTCCTTCCCAATGGCTAATCTGCTTTACGACTAACAGAGGGGTTCCTTCTTCCTCTGAATTTTTGTAGCCTATATTTGTTTGTTCATTTATTCATACATTTACTGAGTACCTAGTACATGCCAGACACTAATCTCGTTATTACTGTTGCAAAGAACAAAATGGACAAGATCCCTGCCCTCACACAATTTAGGGAGAGAATACATAGACATAAATAAAATACACATGATAATTACAGATTGTGGTAAATGTTATGTACAAGGTAAGATACTGTGATAGGATGGGAAAGACTTTTTAAATAGAGTGGTCAGGAATGGTTTGATGTCTCTGAGGAGGTAACGTCTGAGTTAAGGACCTAAAGGATGAAAACCAGCCAGTCATGATTAGGAGCAAAGGAAAAACAGGTCAGTCAAACGAAAGAGCCAATGCAAAGCCGTTGCGGTGAGAAAGCCCTCACTGTGCTCCAGAAGGGGAACAGCAACCTGCTGGCTACGGCCTGAGAGGAAGGTGGAGAGAAAAGCAGGCCAAGTCACACGGGCCCTTGTAGGCCTTACCAATGAGCTCGGATTTTATTTAAAAGCAGCTGAATGCCCTTGGGGGGGGGGGGGAGGTAAGCAAGGGAATAAAATAATCGGATGGAGGTTTTTGAAGGCCATTTTGACCGTTGGATGGAAAAGGAATGGGAGAAGAACAGGGGTGAAAGGAGAGAGCTGCTCTGGCGGCTGTGGCTCAGTTGGTTGGAGTATTCTCCAGTGCACTGAAGGTCTCGGGTTCAATTTTCTGTCAGGGCACATACCCAGGTTGTGGGTTTGATCTCCAGTCAGGGCGTGTATGGGAGGCAACCAATCGATGTTTCTCTCTCACATCAATGTTTCTCTCATTCTCTCTCTCCTTCCTCTGTCTCTAAAATAGATTTTTTTAAAAATGTTTTAAAAGGAGAGAGATAAGTCCGGCCAGTGTGACTCAATGGTTGAGCGTTGACCCATGCACCAAGAGGTCGCCAGTTCAATTCCCGATCAGGACAGATGCCCAGGTTATGGGTCCAATCCCCAGTGGGGGGCATGCAGGAGGTGGCCAATCGATGTTCTCTCTCATCGATGTTTCTATCTCTCTCACTTTCTCTCTCTCTAAAATCAATAGAGGGGAAAGAAAATAAAAATAAATAAATAAATTATAAAAGTAAAAAGGAAAGAGATCAGATAGGATCTGCAGCAGTGGCCCAACAGAGAGAGAATAGGGTCTTGGATGGACTGGAGAGGGACGGTAGAGATGGAAAGAGGATGGACTTGAGGTGTATTCTGAAAGCAGAACAGTGTTCCTGGAGATGGGCTGGACTCAAGAGTAAGAGAAGAAGTAGAATCAGGAATAATGTTCCATCCCACTCATTTGACCTTTATTTCCTGCTCGAGGATTTAGTGTCTTTTTATAAATATATTGTCTTCCCAAATTTATGCACAGTTTGTAAAGGACAGAATCTTAGATCTTAGAATCTCTTGTACCTCACAATGCCTACTTAGAATAGTATTTTACATAGTAAATACTCAGTAGATAGTTGTTCGCTGACAGGTTGCTGTACTTGACCATTGTACAAAATGCAATTAATGTTACTTTGATATGATAGCAGCCCCTGAGGAAGAAAACAGACATCAGTAATTTGTAAGTATAATAATGAGACACAAATACATTACCTCTATATTTGTTATCCAACAGAAGTAACTTACACCTACCAAACACCAAGTAGATGAAAGTTAGAAAAAGACCCACAAAACCTAATATCACTCTTGTACCAGGGAATTTTGAGAAAGCTGTTCAAATCTCAATAATTTAAGTCATAATGGCATTCAGTGAAATCCTACTAAACATGGGTACACTATCTTATTCCTCACAGAAAGCCCTACAAGGTAGATGTAGTAGTTTAGGGACATGAAATCTATAGTAGTTTATAGATACAGATATGAAAATAGAGATCCTAAGAGTTTAAGTCACATTCAAAAGCCACACCCCTAATAAAAAGATAGAGTCGGTATCCAAACCAGAGTTTGCATGACCCCGTCCAGATCCATTAAATCTGGGCAGCCTGACCATGAAGGGGCCCACTGGAGGCCCTGACTGGGACTGACCTTACAGGTGAGCTGATATCTCGGGAGAAAAGGTTGCAGGAAGGAATATTCTGATCAATCTGGAAGGATTCTAATGACAACTCCTTCTGCTCAATCTTCTCCCTGCAGTTGTGTGAGCTCCTGAAGCTTTCTTGGTACCCATGTTTAACCCCATAACATGGGGGCGTGGCCTGAATCTAGCATGTTACATAACCCTGTCACAGATATTGCCACCACCCTCAGGAGAGATGGCAGGCACTGCCACTTCTACTTGACTAAAAGGTACCCAAACCCTGGCTGGTTTGGCTCAGCGGTTACAGCATCTGCCCGGAGACAGAAGAGTCTCGGGTTCGAATCCCAGTCAGGGGTACATGCCTGGGTTTCAGGTTTGATCCCTGGCCCCAGTCAGGGTCAT